ATATATAAATATATAATAAAATAATGTACATATTTTTTAAATAGATGTTGAACATTTTTATCAGTAAATTTCTCTTTCTTTCTTTTTCTATCTCTCTTATTTACAGAACATTGAGGAGATACCTGAAGATTTAAGACTGCTTTATAAAACGGTTTGGGAAATGCCACAAAAAACAATTTTTGAAATGGCAGCTTCTCGTGGACCTTTTATTGATCAATCGCAATGTTTAAATATTCACATGGTTGATCCATTACAGAAGCTTACATCCATGCACTTTTATGCTTGGGAAATTGTAAGTACAAAATATATATTACATAAATTATTTTTAGATTATACATAAATTTAAAAAAAATGTACATTTGTAGGGTTTGAAATCCAGTATGTATCATCTTGTAACTAACAATAATATAAAATAGAGAGAGGTAAGATAAAAAATATATATATTTCCAAAGAAAAGTAAAAACAATGTGCAGAAAATTACAGATATGGAATGCAGAATTCACATAAAAATGAAAAAGTAAAGATTTTTATAATCAAATATTACAATAAAAATTGTATTTTGATATATATAAATTAATAAATAAATTAATAAATAATAAAGATGTTATGTGCTTTTATTAATACGTGAAAATAATTTTTTGAATTATATGTATGAGTCACGTGTTATATGTGCAAAAATGATTTAAGAGGGCATATACGTTTGGAGCCTTAAAAAAGGCATTCTTCATGAATTTTTTTTAGAATCAAGAGACAAATTATAAAAATGAGACTTTTTACATAACGAAGGTACACCTTTTGTAATTCTCATACAAATGTTTTTAGAGTAATTTTGTTGGAAAATCCCCCACTTCACTGTCGTGTAGTTAGCCGTGTACGCTACCCATGATTCCATGGTGACAATGATTTCTCCTTACCCGTTTATCTAAAACACAAAAATCAAACGGTATTTAAAAGAAAAGTAAATTTCTTTGTCGTATCCGATTTTTAAAATTCGAATTTTTAACAAAATGGCGAACTTTTAAAGTTAAAGTGCCGATTTTCGACAAAAAATTTTATTTGTTTTAAAAAAAATAGAAAAAATTCTAATTTTAAAAATCGGATGCAACAAGCGAATTTTATAAGCTTTTAGTAAAAAAAAAAAAAAAAAATCGGTGGATCCGTTTTCAAGTTATCATTGTCACCGACTTTAAAAACATGGTTTTGAGAAAAACGCATTTAAGTTTTTAAACAACTTTATTCTATTAAAGTATATAAAACTGAATTTATTTAACTTACACGTCATCGTTAATTCCTGAGCCATACAGGGAACTTTTCTGCTCAAAATTTACCTCCATTTGATCATTTTTAGCAAAGCGGCGACTTATTCAGGCTTCCCTTGTTATATAAGGGTCCAACTCTTCTACCGCCGCAGCGCGTTTCAGAAAGAGCAAACGCACGCCTGTGCACTGCCCGACAAACTGTGTTGTAACTTCTTTGCTTATTGGAATTGTTTAAACTGTCGAAAAATGCATTAAAAAAAATCAATTGTTTGAAATCGACAAACGTATATGTATCTTAAGGGTGCAGTCCACTTGACGCTACAAATGCTTTGAAATTTTCGATTACCGAATCAGAAAAAAGAATTTTCTAATTGATCAATTAAAAATGCTTCGAAGTATTTGTAGCATCAAATGAATCGTAGCCTAAATTATATATATTTTTATCTAAAGATACCATGCTGACGCTTGACGCTCATTTTTAGCATCAAAATAGAGATCACCATGGTGGTTTACTTCCACCATGAGAGATCACGTGATTAAAATTGACGCTTGCTATTCGTCAATTATCACGTGATCTATTTTGACACTGAAAATGATCGTCGAGCGTCAGCATAAAAAGGTACCTTAATAGTAAAGAGAAACCTGAGAGCCGGCCGTCCCGACCTTTTTTCTGTAATAGTGCTTTTAACCCCCGTACAATAACGGCACCAACGTCTATTTTCGAGAGTTGCGGGAACTAGACGTAATGTTCATTATTGTGACACGCCGATAAAATCGTATCGTCAAAAGTGAACGTGGTTCACAAATTATGGATGTAAAGAAAAAGTTTTTTTTCGACATTGTGTGCAAATTTATTTATTAACAACAATTTTTATATATAATATAACTTATAATATGATGTACAAAAAATCAGGAGACAAAATAGTAGTTGCACAATGTCACATATGTATATTTATAACAAGAAAATTATAACTCTGAATATATATTATAGCTTATACGTAGAGATAACCGCAGACATCAGTTAATGCGAATATATGGTACAAAATTGTCCGTTATATCTAATCAGTTATCACTTGCACTACAAATACGTAAATATAGTCGAATAAAAGCTAAATATTCGTGCATATTTTATAATTTCAGAATAAATATTATAGTCCCGTATATTGTTCTCTTATACATATTATATAAGTAATTTTACTTACCGTTAGAGAAACTATAAGTTGAGCTATTTATATGGTTAAAAATCAAATTAAAATTCGAGGACTGATATTACACACAAAATATGTACACGTTTTCTTAAAAAGGAGCCTATAACTGCGCCTATAATTGTATTCTTTATGTTTAATTTTTGTTAATATTAAAATAATATAAGTATAAAATATATATTATTTTTATGAATATATTTATGTAAGAAAGCATCAATGAAATAATTCAAATAATACAGATAGCGATGTGTTTAGGATTGATTTAATAACAGAAATTAATCATATTCTTTTGTACACCACTCTTAAATTCAAACCAAAGAAAGAAAGTCATTTGCGTCAATTTGTAAATCTGGATAATCTAATCTATAATCTGTTAAAAAAACGGACGAATCGGAGTTATATTTACAAAAAAATATCGAATGAGTTTAACATACTCCTATCAGATATACCGCAGATTTCCTTGTTGAACAATTATTAAATAAATTTTTTCAGGTAAATTATTATAAATCAAAATTTTTTGTTGATCGGATAATTAATCTCCGATTTTGTTGATCGCATTTTACATATACGTTGCCTTTTCGTTGAGTTTACCAGAATTTTATGATGATAGAATAAATTTTTCTCGTTGAATACAATGTTACTAATGAGATAATATGGAAGCTAAATGCTTATTACTTTGAAATAAATAGGTTGAATAAAATGAATACAACGCCTTTTTGTTGAGAAATCTTTTCAATTTCATTATCATGTATATCTGTTGTGTATACGGACTATTCCGCATGAAGCGGATCAAAAATCTCTCAGAAATTTTTAAAATTTTGCACATAGATATAATGCTCTTGGAGAAAGAATTTTGAGCCAAAGAATTGTTTTTTACAAAATTGATCGAGATATAAATAATTAAAAATTAAACTACTTTATTCTGCAAAGATTCATATCTCTGTTACTAATAATGCTAGCTAACTTCGTTTTTTTTTAAATTCACGTTAAAAACGTTCTAATTTACAGAAAAAATATTAATATTCCGAAAAGATTTTGTGTTCCATTGTTTATTTAACAATAAACTAGCCATTCACAGTTATGCCATTCTTCAGAAGAATTGCTATGATTGGCCAGTTTTATATGTATAATTACAGATGTTATTAAACCTATCGACATCTAGAATCAAGAAGAGGCAGAAATAATAGGATCGTTCTTTCTCTGTTTACTGAAGCCTGATTGGTTGTTGGATTAACAACAACCAATAGTAATCAGTAGTTATCTGTAAACAGAGAAAGAACGATGCTAATATGTTTTGGGCGCGTTCAGCGGACTCAACAGTTGAGTGAGCGCTCGCTATTATTGGTGTATTCTTTTAGATCATCCAATCAGAATTTTAGATCTAGAAGAATACACCAATAACAGTGAGCGCTCACTCAACTGTTGAATCCGCTGAACGCGCCCAATAGGTCTGTTTTCTGTGGCTGAACTAGTGTACACTTTTAGAACTTAAAGTGAAATAGGTATATATATTTAATATTTGTCGAAAGCGAGAAATAGAGTTCTAATTTCAGTAGGTCTGTTCTTTATTGCTGAACTTTTGCACTGGTTCATCTTTCTTCTTTTTCTCTCCAGGAGAAGGGAAAAGAAAAAAAGATGAACTGGGTATCGTGAAACTTTTTCCCTAGGATGAAAAGTGAAAATTTTTATTATTGAAGTTAATGGAGAAATTTTTCACTTTTCACTTTTCATCCTAGGGAAAAAGTTTCATGATCGATACCCTGGTGCAAAAGTTCATGTGGTTCAGCAATACAGAACACTAAGGTCTGTTCTTTATTGTTGAACTTTTGCACTAGTTCATCTTTCTTCTTTTTCTCTCCAAGAGAAGGGAAAAGGAAAAAAGATGAACTGGTGTAAAAGTTCAGCAATAAAGAACAGACCTCTAGTCTAGTCTCTAGTGCAGGAACAGAAAACAGACGAATGTATATACTGTAGTCCAATCTTTGAAAAATATCCAAATTAATTAAATATTTTCAAAATGAAGACCTCACGAACTAAAAAAGTCCGAAAAACTCTTGGATTTTATGTAAACAATTATAAATTTCATCAACCTTTTCAAGTTCTTATTGATGGTACATTTGCATTTGCAGCATTACAGGTTAGCTTCACGTTATTTTCTACTATTAGATTTCACAATGTTTTAATGTTTAATTTATTTTATCCATCATATATATTGCTTTATTATTTTTTAGAACAAATTTAACATACAGAAGCAACTTGGCAGGTACTTCCAATCTGAAACGAAGTTGCTAACAACAGCATGCATCATCTTGGAAACTGAGAAACTTGGTACATTCTCTCCAGCAGTTAACGGTGCTATGCAAATAGTAAAACAGTATGTTTTACATAGATGTGGACATGAAAAGAAACCAATAAGTGGCTCAAAATGTTTTTTGTCTATGATAGGAAAAGATAATAGTGCAAGGTATATACATATATAAACATATTAAAAAACTGAACATGTATATCAAGAGAGTTTTACTTTATTAGAATTAAATCTTTATTATAATTTTTTAATCATGGACTTATCACATTTACTATCTCTGGCTACTCTTTGCAATATCATTTTTTTTTTAACACAAAAAGCCAGAGTTTCTAACCAAATCCAGAGAGATAAAAACTATAGTTGTAGGCTAAACTGTTTATTTTGGAATAAGAATGAAATTTTTTTTATTTTAATAAATTTGTTGTAAGAGAATTTTATTTAGCTGACATATATAAATGATTTTTTGTTACTTTTAAAGTGTATGTGCCTCCTGGAATGTACAATACTAATAAATAAATGATTTAATATATAATTAAGATTATATAGAAATATTTTTTAAATAAAACAATACTTGTTATAGATATATCATTGCAACACAAGATCGTGAGCTTCAAGATAAAGTGAGGATAATTCCGGGAGTTCCATTAATTTATTTACATGGAAAAGTACCCACATTAGATTCTCCTTCAGAGGCGAGCCGTAAACATGCTGAAGCTATGCAAAAAGGTTTAGGTGGTATATCTACATGGGAAAAAGAAAATGTAAAAGCATTGCGAAAGCAAGCAGGGCTAGAAGAAAAAGAAACTAAACTGAAGAAGAAAAAGAAAAAGGGAGGACCAAATCCACTTAGTTGTTTAAAGAAAAAGAAAAAACCAGAAGCAATATTGAAGAAAAATGGTATAAAATCTGGCAAGGTCAGAAGAAGAAAAAGTAAAATAGCGCCACATATCAAAGAAGCTTTATTAGCAGAACTGAAGAATAAACATAGGACATAAAATTGTATGTATGTGAATTATGCAAATTTTGAACACATGTATTCTGTGAATACAATATATAAAAATTAAAATTTTTTTTTAAATTAGAAACTGAGAAAACGAAATGCTTTTTTTTGTTCAATATCTTATTGACTTAAAAAAAAATAACTATACATTTTTAAAATATTACTACATACATACGTACATACATAGGATGTTTCTTAAAGTATAAATCACATAGTACTGTTTCTGATCAAAAATTAAGACGAAGAGTTCTCTATTTTGCAATTTTTGTAATAGTTAATGGTTGGGGCGGCCGGATATGTACTTATTCGGCAATCTTTAAAAATTAATATTTTGTTAATATTGCAAAAATTACAAAATTGTAGAGGACTTTTCGACCCAGTTTTTGATCAAAAATAGTGTTATACAACTCGTGGATAAATTTTAAGAAACACCCTTTTATGATAACATTAAATCATATTTTTTAAGACCATTACACATAAAAAAATTTTAGTTGCAACTGTAAAACATTAAGCATATCGACCAACACAAACACTCAGTTATATTCTAAGATCGTAATTTTGATTGTGGCTGATTGACTTACGATAACAATTAAAATCTCTACGCGTGATGGCCCTTATGTTAAATCTGAAATGTTTAAAGTTTTTATAGAAATAATTTTTCAGCTAAGTATTAATGCATTAATAAAACTTTGTTATAAATAACCGAAGTGATTATTTAATAGAAATAATTTATAATGTTCAATTTCGTTAATGGAAAAATAGCGACACACGTTACTTTTAATTACACTTGATATCATTTAAATATAAAAATATTAAGAAAAAGAAATAACAAAGATTCATTTAAGAAAAAATGTATATTAATCTTTCAATATGATATTAAATAACGTTGTATAATAGCATTGTCCTAAATCTTAACATATAGTTGAACACATGAATCTGGAATTAGGAACTTCCATATACATATATATATATATATGAAAAGTATAAGAATGCTGGAAAATAATTTTTTTGACGTAAATGGTACAGTATTATTTACAGTCCTCTTGTTTAAGAACTTTCAGATAATATTTAATATTACGTTATTATAGTATACATTTATTTATAGATAATTCAAAGTTGAGTAGTGGTAGATCTATATTTTCAGAAGGTTAATGTTTTCCTCGGATAGTTCTTTAAAAAAATGTATACATATAATATAAAATACATATAATATATATGCGTAACATATAATTATATATATATATATACACATTATATATATTTATACATGTACATATATGTAAATATTTTTATAAAATTAAGTGCGAAGAAAAAATTAATTTTTTACTGCAATAAAAAAAAACGAGAAATTTAATATAAAAAATTTTAAATAAAAGAACTGAAGTTTTTAAAATGCGACCTTGATATGTATAATGGCTCTTTGGCATATCAAAACTTCATAGTTCTTACGCTATAAACATCTTACAAATTGATCTACCACTATGTAAAATAACAATCTCTTTCTATTAGGTACAAATATTTGAACTCAATCATATAAATAAAACAATTCCACATTTATCTTATTCAGTTGAATATTACAGTCATGACACATATTTTTATTTATTCTGATATAAGACCTTTCCTAGTTCATAAATAGTCACAAAAATAGAATTTTTCTCGGTTAAAAAATTATAATTCTAAATAATTATTAAGCCAAAATTTTTCAAAGTTAAATGTTGTAATAAAAATGTTTACAGACGCATTTTTTCGTACAAGTATGATTAAATATGAAATCCATGTATTGTTTATGTTTTATAAAATTTGAAGAAATATTTGTAATTATTATTATTAACTTATGAGTGAAAATTTATTTTTAGTTATCACACATGTAGAATGTAACATTGTTCATGCAAAACTTAACAGTATGAAACTAAAAAATTATTTTCTTTTAGCATAAGCACTGATCATTTTTTCTAATACTAATCTATCGTCAATATTGTGCTCAACTTAAAATAGTTTTTGAAATTTTAGTTTATTTTTTATTTTATTTTTTAAATATAGTTGTAAACTTATTTAAAAAATTTTATTAAAGTATTTAAGTCCATAAAAAATAAATGAAGATTTATAGCATATTAAACATATGTGTGTATTTGTTAAATGAAACTAAACTGAATCTGAATGTGTTTGTTGAAGTAGTGTGAATGGTAATGGTTTTACATACATCTGTATTTATTTTATATTCTATATGAAAAGTACTACCACACACAGTCTTAAACATGACTTCTGTTAATATTGCTTTTAGACAAAAGTAGTCTTTAAACGAAACATAAAAAATCTTATATCATATACTTGAATAATCTCATAAACATGCTGGTCAAGGATGCTGACTTAATAATGCACGTGTTGCCATAGCGAGCATTTTCATGCGGCGCGTCGATCGATGATTTGGATTACTTGCTACAAATGTAGCTAATTGATTTTGTAGAGTCATTAGCACCGTGCCCATATGTTCTCGTGTTACAGGATCACTTGGATCTAAATTCAATATTGCTTCTTCCAGCCATCTAGAAAAAGATATATATTTTAGAAAAAAATATTTATTTACGATATATATATTTAGAATATTGTTTTTTCGCAATATTTACAAACGATATGCAATGTCTTTTTTTATACGATTATACATAAAATAAAAAAATTATTGATAAATACCTGTGTTTTAATTCTGTACGATGTCCTAAATCAGCAGATAATTGTTGTACGAGAGAAAGAATCACGGGTTGTTGCAAAACGCATCGTGAACCTTGTGCTGTACATGAAAATACTCTCGAAGGTTCTGTTTTTTCACACACTAATACTACCAATCCTAAATCACTTGCACTCAAAGCCTGTTGAAAAGCGGCGTTTAGTTGACCTCTTTGAAGAAGAGACATAACACGAGATTGAGCATCAGCTACAGCAGTTACAGGTATAGCAGGGGTTGTAGCTCTTGATCTATATAGATTTCAACAATAAAATGTTTGAACAATATCTTTATGATAGTACTTACAGCAATGTTAAATTTCAGATTTATCCTTACCGCGCAGTAGAAATTTCTGTAAATTGCTGATTTAGATTTTCTCGTATAGATTCACGAACTGTTCGTATAGTACTATCTTGCATCGTTGTTGAAACTCTATTCAATTCAGTTTGTATCTCTTCGCGTACCAATGTTGATAACATTTCGCTTAACTGCTCATTATGATGTTGATTATGTTTATCGATAATTGAATCGACATGTTGTAGATCTATTTAAAAAATGTCAATAAATACGTCGAAGAAATATTTAATTGTCCTGATATTAATGGAATAAATTACTTACATTCGCGTGTACCTTTAATGAAGACGTCCTGGATTTGCTTAAACATAATTTGGCAAATTTTTTCCATATTAGGTAAGAGGACAGTTGCAAACGCTTCCTTAAAAGTAGCATCCAAAGCTGATTTTGCTGCATTTGCAGCTGTTAAAGATAAGGTATCTTTTACATGTGAACTATTTATCAATTCAGTTATATTCTTCTGGAAGAGTTCATCCATTTGATTTACGTCTAGTCTCATTTGATGCTTCAAAGGCTTTATTGTTTCTTCAACTGTACAGGGTAAGGTACTTTCAATTTTATCTTTGATCGTTGTTTCAAATGTATTTAGAAATTCATGTTGACGAGCCATTTGATCATATAGAGTTTGTTCCAAGTTCGCATTTTGCTGCTGAGACATTCTTGCCAATGCCGATTCTATTCTCGTGGATATTGGTGATTCTTGCCGTAATCTAGTTACCTCTGTACGTAACTCTTTGAGCTCTTGAGACTGATCCTGAATTATATCTAAAATAGATTTCAACTTATTATTTAGTTCAATATCGTTGTTTGTTCGCCATGATAATCCAGGATCATTGGCTGCAGGAAGGGACGACGTCTTCGGTTCAACTTTCGCCTTTGGTCTTTGCACATCATTTTCATCTTCGGGAAATTCTTCAGACTCTTGCATCGCATGCACACTAACATCTTTAAGCAAAACCATCGGGATATTAGACCAATCTTCATCAGTATTTATTTTTATTTCCGATTTGCCGTCAATATCAGTTTCTTCATCTGGTTTAGTAAGAGATAAGATTTCTCTTACTTCTCTAGATGGACTGCTTCCACAACTAGCAGGAGCTTGCTCTTCTATATCATTTTTTACGATTAGTGGATCAGATGCATTCAAAGCTTGCACTGCTTGTGCAAGAGGACTACTTGACAAGACTTTCCTCAAATCTGGACTTCCAGGATTAGAATCTATTATCTCCAATTCGTTGTTGTCTTTTTTTGCAGGTGAACTGAATGCATCAGGCGTCATTAAATTTAAGCCACCAGTATTATGATTCATTGTTGTTTCAACTGCAGAAGATAAAGATCGTTTCGATTCTCCCTCACAATTTTCTCCGGACATACCGTTGTGAGTAACAGTTCCCATATCTGGCATATCTTCGGAATATTCTAGCGCATCATGAGAAAGTGTATCTATAAGATAATTGCCACTTGTTTGTGAGGCAGGTTTAAAAGCGATGTGACATTCTTGTAACGACTTTGGTTGGACTAGATACATGGAAATAACAAGTTGTTCTTCATTCTCTTCAATCTCTTCACATAGATCTTCTAATGATTCGCCAGTAGACCGTATTTTACGTTGATCAGCATCGACAATTCCGAAACTTAGAATTGGATATGGCAAGAGAAATTCTGATACTGTGCTTATGCAAGCTAACGCTTCATTTTTATCTTTCATAAGACTTAATATATATAAAATTTTATTATATATATCTGATAGAAACAGATATCCAGCACTAAGATCTAAACCTGCTTTCAATACCGGTATTTTTCCCGAGGAAGGATTTGGAGCAAATTTGATTGTTTGTAAACAAGTCCACATTTCGCATGACCATACTTTTAGTTCTGAATTATTGTCACACCCCGTCACAGCAAATCTCCAAAATTGAACACTAAAATATAAATATTTCCTTTAATTATGATTAGTTTATCGAACAAAAATATATATACATCAAATTAATATTATCAAAATACTCACTCA